CGCCCCCCCCCCCCCCCCCTTCTATCGTACTATGTAGTAGGCGGATACCGCCATGAGTGGGCTTGGTACCGTCATGTTCTCGAACGTTCTAGGGCCAGCCAACCACGGCATTCCCGTGTCAGAGGACGAGGCCATGCAGAGCGTGACCTTCAATCAGGTCCACCGATGCAAGCGCACCACCCCATAGCTCAGGTACGGTCGGGTTAAGTGAACTCTCCGCAGTAAATGCCACATTTTGTTCAGAAATGGTGCCCAGTGAATTGAAAAACAAAGTATGATGGAAAGGTCCGACCCGCGACACCTCTGTCCACCGAGAACCGACGAAGGTCTGCTACGGCACCTGCTGCCAGAGTCGTGCATAACATCGTCGATCACTCCGGCATAGCTCCACGCAATTTTTGAGTAAATCGCTCCTATTTGAATTTGAACGGAAGGAACGATGGAATACCTTCTTTCGAGAGCTGTTCATTCGTCCATTTATGAGACTCAACCAAAGCGTACGCATACAATAGAGGGAAGGAACGGGGGGGGGTGCAGGCAACTATTCCTCGCGATGCATTGCTTGTGGAAGGAGTAGAGAGTTTTGACGCACGCGCACCGGTACTGCTGTTGTCTTGAGGGTCTCACATCTTGTAGCGTTGTCCTATATATAGTGCAAGACAGAAGGGCGTCGCAAGGTGAACCGATAGTGTGCAACTAGCCAACATCTCATGATGCCAAGCAAAGCGCCGGGGACGAAGAGTTATTGCCTTGAAATGTTAACGCCGCTTCCCTGTGGTTATGACGCTTGAACTTTTCAATCCCCATGCACGTTTTTACAGCGAGGATAGCTGCTGCTGATGTCCTGTTCGAATTGCTTGCTGTTTCCGGCGCAAATTCCAGGCCATCTACTGTCACCCTTGCCCGCTCAGCACCACTCCCCCCCCCCTCAGGTATGGATTGCCATCGTTCGAAGGTGCTCGAGCAGTACGTCCTCACGGATATCAAGACGAAGATGGGCAGTACAGGCTACACTTCGGTAACAAGAGCGACCCCTACCACGACGGTATTGCCGTACCTTGCCTGTGTGCGAGGCTTTTTCCGAAAAGGTGTTTGCTGCGAAGGGCGGCGGCCGTGAAAAAACTTGGACGTCATCAGCGACTCGTACGTTGCCTTTGTTGATATGTGAACTAAGCTCTATGAGGCTGAGGGTTTTTGTTGTCTTTAGCGTATTCTTCTAACCCTGTCTCCCCTGGTGTTCTGTCGGCAATTTGTCAGGCCGATAAGCGCCCTTTGGACGTGCAAGCTCTGCCGAACGTCCAACACTCTCGTTTATTTTGTTCCTGACGCGTTTGTTTGTTTCTAGCCTTTAAAATCATTTTCCCACGTTTTCAGCGTCCCCTGAAGTTGCTCCGAGGCAGTCGACGCGCTGGTGGTTTGTCGCAACCTATCTATGTATGAACCCGTGACGTCAAACAAACTGACATTCACATGGAACGCTATTTGTTCTTTGTTTCGTGTCTCAGGTCCTAGGAGAGCTTCATGCGGTTCGGCTTGGAATACGTTTAGCCGATCCTCTCCACCGAGAGTATTGATCGCCAGGACGATGCTAAGCGCTCCCTCAAGCCGTGCTTGTTCGCGGACGAGGGGGCAGGAGGTGGAGGAGGTGACCCAGGGGCGGATGGGGGTGGAGGGTAAACTAAAGATGGAGACGGGGATGTTCTTCGTCTCCGAGCGAGAAAAGCGATGGTCTTGATGACTACGCTGGCTACAAAGCCTTGGCGGACACCTAAATAAACCGTGTTGACAAGGTACGTCATGTGTCTTGTCCTTTCCAAAAATCGTGTCTCTCTTTCTGTCTCTTTCTCTCTGCCTGCGATGATGTTGGATGCTTGCGTGTTTCTTGTCGTGCATCCGTTATGCCCGCGGCTCCCTATAATGTACACCCTTCCTCATCCCAGCGTGTCTGTTGGCGACTCCTGATGTTTGAATGTACCTCGCCTCCCTTCAAAGTAGTTCTGCGGGGGTGCGTAGCTTATCCTGGTCTCTGACGTATTCTACGACCTGCGGTTATGCTGTCGGTTTGTGTCCTCCTCCCCCCCCATGCCTGCTTGCAAATATTATTGTTGACAATCAATGTACATCTGTCAGCTATACCAAGAACTATATAATATATATACTGCAGCAAAGGGGGAGAGCATGCCCTCCATTTAATTTCTCGACGGCCCACTATCACCCTCCTCTCACACTTCAATATTATTTCGCTGCTGATCGGTAACCTCCAGGTCGAGTCGCCGGGGCCTCCGCTGCAACATCGTTCAAAGCGTTTTGTCGGTTCCTCATGACGTTCACAACGGGTGGAAGCTTTGATGGAGGAGGCGGAGTTTGTCCCGCTCGCCATGTCTCACAGTTTTTTTTAATCGTATGGTGCTATGATACGCTTGTTGCTCTCGCTGGTGCATGAGGGCGCCTGGCGCGGGATGAGAGCCAGGTGTTTTCTTACTGTGTCTGTAAGGGCGTTTGGAATCTGTCGCTGCAGCCTCTTGGCTTCGTCTGCGCTGTTTTTTGTCCGTGTGAAATATGGCTTTTTTGGCGAAGGGGAGGGGGAGGGGGGAGTTGTTTCGATGGTGTTGGGAAGTAGAGAGTACACCTTGCGCAGCCATCGACAGCTTGACCCAATCCGGCTTGTTAGCAGCGCACCAACCACCGAGAAAGGGTACACCTTGTACTACCATCGGCAACCTGCCCCCTATGCGGCTTGTAATAGCGCACCAACCACCAAGAAAGGGTACACCTGCACTACCATCGGCAACCTGCCCCCTATCCGGCTTGTAAACAACACGCAACCTCCAAGAAAGGTATACCTTTTGCACAACCTGGCCATTGTTGCATTGCAAGGATTACCCAAGGTGGGGAGGTTGCATCTCGTGCCAAAGTACTTGAGGTTGGCAAAAGTGCCCCTACAACCTGGTGTGTTGGCCACCCGTTCCGTGCATGTTACGCCGAAAAGGGCAGTCTAACGTTCAGTACAGATAGAAAAAGGCATGGCCCCATGACAAAAGAGCACAGCAGTTAGTTAGGTATCATGTGGGTCCTCAACTAAATAGAATGGAGACTACTCTGTATGTACGGCGATGCGGGCCCTCAATAATAGTCGTGCAGCAGGTTGATACTATACTACACAAACAAGAAGAGAACAATCCCACAAGATACAAGCCGGCTGCACCGCAAAGTCGACAAAAGACGATACGGACAAAATTGGACGTTGCTCATCGGCATCTCGACAATACCAAGTGGGTGTGGCTCTCTGATAAAAAAAAATAGGTATGTATGGGGTCACCGAAGGTACCATACCTACTTTTGATGACGACAAAAAATGAATTTACCGGGGGTGTTATCTCGTGTGATCACACGGTAGGTAGTGGCACCGCCCGGTCTCGCACAGGAATCGCGTGACACGAATTGAATCTTCAAGTTGTCTCTTTCTCTGGTGGAAAGTACCCGTGAGTCCGGCCAACAAAATACTGAGGGCCCCCACTGCTGTAGTAGTATTCGACATCCGGTAAATGGATGGTCAGACATTAAAAACTGACCTCCCTCAGACTCTGATTGTGCGCGCACCGCTATCAGCACTACGTACTTCATATTAAGCGAATCGACAAAATGAACACCCCGCGTGTTTAGGCTCAAAACGGGGTAAACTGCGTCTCCTGCAGCACCACAGCTTAGGTTTCGCTACGCTTGTGACAACAACCCGGAATACATGTATGTGCGCATACAAAATTCGGCCGGCGCCCCTGAACGTCGAGTGAGTACAACGAGTAAAAGAAACCCAGGGCTTGGAGTATACAGCAGTATTTAGTATACCGTATCCGACAGGTATCACTGGACCTCGACACCTTGACTACGACATGTGCATCTTCGCGGAACATCAATCAATCAATGCCGATGCCACCACTAGACTATAGTTGTTGCTGGAGACAAGCGCTGAGCGTTAGCCAAGGTAGGTGTGCTGCAGCTAACTGGTGCTCTAGAAAAGGCACAAGGCCCATACTTCCGAGCATGCATGAAAATTGATCTCAACATCACATGGTATCAAACTGGCGAAATAAAACGATCGTGCCGAAATAGAACTCCGAACTAATTCTACTAACCCTTCGACACGATAGACGAAATTTCTCTGCTACAAACTCTCTCATGCCCCCACCAAAAGGTGGAGACCGTCGGCATCCTGACAGGAGAAAGAGCCCTACCGCGATCAAAGAGAGACTCAAGAGGCACGACGACCAGATCAAGGGTTAGGTAGTAGGACACCACGTACGAGGACAAAGTCCGGCGGCGCGAGTCTGTCCTCAACGAAGCACGACAAGATTGACTCAAAATCACGGATAGTCTTCAAGAAAAATTTGCGGCCATTCAGACCCCATACATGCACAGCACATGCGACTCTTCAACACGTATGTATATCTAAAGGGCTGCACTTGCGACGACCGAGTGCCGGCACATGTGCTTGAAGCTGCAGAAAGTGCACGCCTGGAAAGACGGGGTGGCCTCGAACCGCTCCGCGCGAACCGCCGTCGCCGTGGCGGAAATCGCCTCCAAGGCAACCTTCGCGTCGGCCGCAAGCGGCACCGCTACCCCCCTACGCCCGTCCTCTATCGACTCTATCGCTATCTCGGTCGGTGGAGTTCCGAACAGCCGCTCGGCCGCGAGCGCGTAGATCCGGAGCTGAAGATTGTCCCGGACCATGCGGCTTGGGACTTTCGCGCCGACGTTCGATTTGTAGTCCGTTATGGAGAGCAACCCAGGGTGTGAAGAGCCCTCGCCGACAGCCGCCTCGATGTCCACCCTGTCGAAAATTCCTGAGAGCACGACGCTCGCCTCCGGAATCTTCACCATAAACTTGCGTTCCACGAGGAGCTGACGCGGTTGCGAGTTGTGACCAGAGCCCGCACCGGTGGTGCAGCCTCTGTCCTCGATTAGCCTAGACATGAACGACTCCAAGCCGGCCACGCCAGCCGCTCTTAGTGTGCGCAGCTGGTCCACCGACTCGAACGCGCACCCCCGCAGGTGTTGGTTGAAGTCTTCCACCACGGCTTCCAGGGTCGGGGGCGGGCCAGCCCCCCGGCTCCCGCTCGCCACGCCACGCAGCAACGCGGCAACCCCCTCGTGCATGGCTTGGCCGTACACCATTCGCGGGTTCGGCGGAGGGGACACGTTGAGCACGTGCTGGAGGAAGTAGCTGTACGGGCACGCCGCAAACGACGAAATGGAAGAGAACGACAGCCGGAGCGCCGCGGCCGCCGGCGACGGCGACGCGGACTCGAGCCTCCCGGCAACGGTGGCATACCCCCCCTCAACGACCTTCGGCGCTGCGTCTCTACTGCCCCCGGGCGCAGCAGCACCCTCGTCCTCCACAAGGTGTAAGCGGTCCTCTTGATCCTTCGGTGTCTCGATCGCCGTTATCCACTCTCGCGGGGCGTCATCCCCCAGGATCTCGGCAAGAAACGGGCTAGGGCTTAGGTGCGTCTTACCGCGGATGGCCCGGGCTGAAACACTGAGGCAAACCTCCTGCCCGGCGGAGCCCAGAGCGGCATACAGCATCGCTCTGCCCCGGTTCTCATGGTAGGCGCGTGCAAGATCAGCCTCTGCTCGTAGGCTCCCAGTGTCCCGCGGCTCCGGATAGCCGCGGAACGGTCCCGGCACCGTCAAGCGCGGCGTTCGAAGGTTACCGGGGAGGCGCGCTCTGCTGCAGAACGGGATGAAAACGGTGTGATAGGAGCGGTTCTCGCCGGCGTTCCAGTCCTCGCCAAGTCGAAAGACGCGGACAACGCCGCTGGAACCAGCAGAGGAGCCCCCGAATTCCCCGCCTGTCGCTGCCTCGTCGTCGCGGGGCCCGGAGGGTTTCATGTACCCGGTGCCATGGCGCCGGAACAAGCGGAGGATCGGTTCGACGAGGGCGACATTGTCACCCCCAGCCTGTTGTTACACGTACCAAAGGGCGGCGGTAATCGAGCAGCTTTTACCGGTTTCGGTGGGGTTGGCAGCAAGGAATACGTGGAACTATTCGCTTGGCACGTCTGCTGAGGAATTGTGGTACACACCCCAGCCGCCCACGTGCTGTGCGCGTAGTCAACGCACTATTCTGAAAACGACATAAAAAAGACAGGTTTCATCCGCGTGCATCATTCAAAGGTGTGTTCGGTGTGTGTGAAAATACTTGAACGGTACTGCTGTTAGCGTTTCGCCTGGTGGTACCACGCCTACACTTGACGACAAGAAATACGAAACAAACAAAACAAAATGCCAGAAAGGGACGCACCGAGAGCCCGCTTGACCCAACCACAACTAACTTCACCTGTTGCTCTGCCCTCGCTGTGAGCTCGAAGAATTCCGCCACTGCTCGCCCCTCCTCCTCTTCTTCCTTCGTGGTGGGCTCCTCGAGCCGCTCCAGTCGCCCCGAATACCTCAAAAAGTCGAGCATGATTTCCCTCACCCCTGTCCTTTTCGCCGTTTCCGCAAATCGATCTACGTCGGACAGGAGCTTCCCAGCGACGTTCCTCGCGCTGGTCGAAACCCCGTGCCCCCCCCCTCGTGGGTGCGAGTCCCCTCCCTCGCCCGAGTGAATATCTCGAAGAAACGACCGCAAGGGTACGTACCGCGATAGGTGCCCTTCCAAGGCTGCCGTCAGCTCGCCGCCGGGCAAAGCGTACGCGGGGCAAGACATTAGCAGGTGTAGCAGCGGGGTCGATTCTGAGGGGTGCACCAGGCACCGGAGAAAAGACATGAGCATCCGCGGCGTTTCGTTGTCGAACACCGCCGAGAAGCGTGGGGGGGACTCAACCGGCACCCCTGCTGCACTGAGCGCCGCAACCAAGGTGTCCGCAACGCCCCCCCCTCCGACGGCTGCCACCCCAATATCACCCGGGTGCACCCCGGCTTTGATCACCTCTCGGACTCTCCTCCCCAAAGCTTTCACCTCGTCTCCCTCCGTTTGAAATGTGAGGCAGGTCAGCCGGCTGTCTCTGCTTGCTGCTCCTGGTGTCGTTGCAAGCGCGGGCTTCTCGTCCGTTGCTGCTGCTGCTGCTGCCGATGTGTTTCTTTCAACACCGGCAGTGTCTTCAAGAAAATCAGCAACGCCCGGTGCGTCCGCCTTCGCCGCCTTTGCTGAGTTCTTCCTCTTTGCCGCCGCCGGAGCATCGCGAGGCTCTAGCGTCTTCATGGCCATCTGGATGGCAGAACTACTATGGTGGTTGCCCTCTAGGTGGAGTTCCTGAGCGCCCGGAAAGGCCTTCTTGAACCGAGCGATGGCTGTGTGCTCGGCGCGAAAGATTCCAACGCGAGACATGGCCGCTAAATGCGGGTCCGCCGTCGCCGTAATCCTGGCCCCCGGAGCTACAAGACTCGCCAGGATATCGATCATCGCGGGCGAGTACCACTGTATGTCGTCTACGTAGACGTGCGACAAGCGCAGCGATAGTGCGGCCTTGGCGGTGGCGCTTTCTCTGAGGATCCGCCGCGCCAACAGCAACTGGTCGGAGAAGTCCTCGACCCCTTCCCGCCTCTTGAGGTCCACGAAGGCCTCGTAGACGTTGGCCTTGTCTCGCTCCCCGGCGACGTGCGCGCGCCAGCCTTCGGCTTCAAGCTGCGCCCGCTGCCTCGCCCGCCTAGCCTGTGCACCGCTCCCGGCGTCATCGTCGACCGTAACGCCTCCTTGCTGTTCGCCACCACCGGCGGTTGTGCCCAGCTCCGTTTCCAGGGCCTCCACATATCGGAGATAGTCTTCGGGCGAGACCCCGCAGTGCGCGAGGCTGGAGAAGAGGCCGAGCAGCGGCCGGACGGCGCCCCCCGGGTCGTGCAGCGGGCGGTACTTGCCAAGAGGGAGGGCGCCGAGGTTGCGGTGCAGGAAGACGGAGAGGCTGTTGCGGTTGAGCACGGCGGCGTCGGCGGCGGTGTCGAAGCTCCCGACCGTGGGGCCGAACTCATCGACGATCCTCCGGACCAGAGACGGGAAGGTCTCAACGTCGCATTTTGTGCACCCCAGCGGCCGTTCGAGGTCGATCCTCTGTTGGAGGCGGGCATAGTTAGCTTGCTGGCTCACTGCGAGAAGGGAGCCGGCGGGGCCTGCTGCTGCTGCGCTGACGTGTTCTTGCTGCTGCTGCGGCGGCGACGATGATGCTGTTTCGCTTGCCGCTTGCAACAGCTGATTGGTCAAGGACCATGTCTTACCGGAGCCTAGCAGTCCGGTGATGAGAGTTGCCTGGCCCGCCGATCGCGGTGCTGCCGAGATCATGACTCAAGGGCATGCATCTTCACTACAAGCTGTTTCGTGTTTGACTTTTGAACGGGGTACCCGCGAATGATTTTCCGGAGATGTAGGGTACAATGAGCATCATCTGTCGGTGCCCCACCCGAGGTGTGTGGAAGTTGGTCCGTGGTTTCCCCTATCCATGTCAATGCACTCTCTCGTGCCCGGTCTCCCTCCCCCTCTCTCTGCAGGTTAAAGCAGTCGAGATCGAAGCAGCATGGATGTCGACACATCATGGAGGCGAAAGAGGCCTGCAGAAGTGAGTGGGGGGCACTAAAAGTCGGGCCGTTGTGGAAGCAAAACCTGCTGTCAGCTAGCCCACTTGAACTACAGACGTTCATCAAACCGCATCTCCACATTATTCGTTGGTTCCTTTGCCTAACTACCGTGTGTCGTCGACTGGAAGGATGCCAGATGTGCCGTGGTAGGGTAGATAGCTACCAGGTCGCACTGCTGTAAACTGTCGACTCTTTGGGCGTTCTGTTTGCAAGCTGTTGTGATGAACTTGTGTGTACCTATCCGAAGGCGCTTGTTGTATGCCTGCTGCGTCCTGTTGACCCCTGTTGGACACACACACATGCCACACCACATCATCGTGCTAACCTCCTTCGTCCATGTGTGCCCAACCCATCTCAAGGAGGAAGAAGACTACATGGCCTCGAAGCGGTACATCTCAGAGAAGTTCTTCAACATGCGAATTTCCCACCCCGACGCGCCTGGGCTGCATGGAGCCGGCTTAATGTGGCAAGGAGCAGCGGACAAAGCCGCTGGAGTAGGCACTGGCGACTTGGGTGAGGACGCACGGGTTCTCCGCGATGATATGCATAAAATCCGACGACAGACGCCGCAGTAAAATTTGGCTTGTTGTCATCCTGATTTCCACGGCCAATCACCTGAAATTCACCATCTGCGTGCATGCTTCCCCGTTCGTGCACGGCTTCTGCCCGGCATTTGGAACATCGTGCTGCCGCTCCTTGTTCGTTTGCGGGTGATGCACACGATGCGGCGGTTTTTGCGCATGAGAGCGAAGAGACCCGCGACTTACTTCAGCGGTGTCTCTGTTACGGAGGCTTTTCATTTGGCTGTTCAAGCAGCGGGCCGCACGAGACAGTAGTACTCCCGCGCAAGGGCAGAATGAAACACCCAACCCCTGTCCACAAGCTTCCTGAAAATCAATTCTACGCACCGCACCCGGCGACGATGCCTGTCCGTCGGGAAACAACATGTCGTTAGCGGCGAGTTCGGTGCGTTGTACAGAATGCATATCGTTTGTTGCTCCACCCAAGGCGCCGTCTCGTGTGGGCCCGTCAGAGGCAGGAATGAAATAGCCCAGAGGAAAACGAAGTTTGGGGTTTGTTTGGGGTATTATTTCCCGCCTCCTGCGACCAAAGAGGTATGGATACCAGCGTGTGCCATCTGCACACGCCGTGCAGCAATTGTGCGAAGATCCACGCATAGGCACGGCGCCAGCGAGATACTTGGTCGGGGAGTTTGCACCTGTTGCAAATCCGTTTCACCGCCTGGCAGGATATTCGGCTGAACCTCTTGCATTCACAACATGCGCACACGAGCGTGGAAGCATTCTGAGAACTGAAGGACTGCGTACAGTATGTAGCGCGCACTTGAAACAGCGGGCCCGTTCACGATTTTGAGTGCTGCGCCCCTGCCGCTCTTGAGCACGTGCAATACGCTGAGGTATCGGGCCGACCCATTAACACAAAATCCCCAACTGTCGGAAATTCTGATTTCAACCCGACCGACGAGGCAACTCACTCCCCCTGTCACCAACTCGCTCCGTAACCGACAACAACAGCGGCGGAGGCGGGAGTCGACTGCAGCAGCATGTCTGACGAGGAGGACATTTCGACGGCCACGGGCCAGCGTCCACCCGCAGCCGCCCCGAGCGTGTTCAGCGAAGGCGCCGCCTTCGGCAACCTCGCCTCGCTCGACGAAGACGACGATGCAAGCGGAAGCGATGACGGTGCCGGCGACGCCTCCTCGGCGGGGGGCGGTCCGCCGACCCCGCACCCGTTCCTGCGGTCGACATCTTCGGCCATCGACGAGAAGGTCGACGACTGGGTGCGCACCTCTCGGCACCGGATGCTGGCCGACGCCTCCATCAACTCCGCCCCGGACCTCTGCCGCGCTCTGATCCCCTACCAGCCTGTGGCCGGCTTGATGCCGTCGGCGGCGCCCGCCGCGGATTCTACCGGCGACGAGGAAGGCCGGACATCCGGCTACGACAACGGGGAGGCCGGTGGGGATCCTACGCCCTCACCACACGCAGGTGGCAACGGCGGGGGCGACACTGCGCCGGCCGCCGCCGCCGCGGGCGCGGGGCTGGGAGCGGTCATGCTCGGGGGGGGACGCGGTTGCGAGCAAAGCGCGGGGAGTAGCACCGCCGAGGCGGCGGGTTTCGCCGGCGCTGGCGGTAGGACCGGCGGCCATTCCCACGGGTACACCAACGGCAACGGCGGTGAAGGCGGCTCCGACCAGGGCAAGGGCCGAAAGCACCTCCACCACCACCACCACGACGTCGCCGGCAGCCTCTTCGGGCCGCCGCCTCGAGGACTCTGCACCGCGCAGTCCGGCGGCGACGACGCCGGTGGCGCTCTGATGATGCGCGACGACAGCGGGGCGGCCTCGATGCGGGAGGACAGTGAAGCGGCCATGCGATTGCGGGACGGCGATGCGGGGGGGAGGGGGGATGGAACTCTTACGGCGGCGGCGGCGGCGGCGGCGAGCGCGGACGCGATGGACATGGACGGGACGGACATGGCGCCCCCTGACGCCATCCCGTTGTCAAGGATCGGGTCCAGCCGAGGGGCGCCGACACCGGAGCTGACGCCGGAGAGGGCGGCGTGGGCGCGGGTGAGTGGGTTTGACGACGGCGAACGACTTGACGTTTTGTGGCTGTTTTTCTGACAGAAGACACATGGCAGCTTCGGTGTCGTCGCTTGACCTTTCCGCAGTTTGGGTGAGGTATGGTATCGTACCACGAGTACCTTTTCCCGCCACGGTACCCGTCCGTCCGTGCTTACGTGTGCTTTGCCTTGCAATAGAGAGTGTAGCAGAGGACGATAGTGAAGTCGAGGTTGACGCAAGGGGGCTCGAAGAATCGGCCAGCTTGGTCTTACTACTACGAGTAACGACTACAGGCTGGTGTACCGGATATCCTGCAAGCAGTAGTGATTAGTTTACGAAACAACGTCGGTGGTCTACATACATATGTGCGGACCGAAACGTTGTGCCTTGTCCGCACGTCTGCGCGACGCGTGCGCAGTTATTTCGTGGTCTACGAGGGATGCCCATGTTCTAAATACAAAGGTCGTGCGTTTTGAACGGAAGACAACACCCCCCCCCCCACCGCCGCCACCTGTCGTCTCGTTGCCGGCTTTCTTACTATACGCGCCTGGCAGGCGGCCCCTCAGCGGAGACGCGAAGCCCGGGGTGAGGAGGACCCTGACGAGATCGCCGGCGCCACAAACGCAAGACCACCGCTCACTGCACAGTCCTGGGCACAACGGTGGTGACCACAAGCCGGAGGATGGGTTTCCGAGGTGCTGCCAGCTGGATGGCGGGAAGACGCGACTGGTCGACGGGCTTTGTGGCAAGAAGAACCTGTCGAATTCTTGTGGGACGTATTTAGGAAGAATCGTCTGGATTGCCGGGTACTCCTTTGGATTGCGGAGCGACTGGGCATTCACCGGATTCTGCTTGCTTGCGTTTTCTTGGCGGACTGGCGGTACCGGCGGTGCCATCCATCCGTTGTTTCTTCGGTGCAACCTCATGGTCAAACCGGCGTTTTTAGTGAATTTTGTTGATTGTATTCACCCGACATTTTTTGCCCCTTCTCTTTTTTTCAGTGGTGTTCGTTGTTCGTGCAGGGGGAACTGACGCCCAAGGTCGCCTTGTTTTGTAAGCTTCCCCCTGTTCGGTAAATTGATACGACGTTCCTCTTGTTTTAGTGCTGTGTCGTTTTGGTTGGGGGCTTGGTAGGCAAGCTCGTCTTTGGTAATTTTTGTGGCGCAGTTGCAAATGGGTCGCGTCTGAGTTGTTGGCATCGATAAGGCCGCGTCTGCGAACACGTTTTTCGCCGATCGATGTGCTTCTGCTCTCGTTTTTTGCCGTAGACGCTCGCTCCTTCTCCCCCGGTCGTGATCGTGATCCCCCCGGCAGGAGATGAACTACTGTAGGCGGCCATCTTGGTATCTAGTGAAGTTAGCTATTGAGCGCGGCCAACAGCTCCACTGTTTGCCCTACCCTCATTGGCGGTCGATTGATGATTTGTGTCTTGTGGTGGGGGGTATGCATCCAATCAAAGGGTTAGGTTTCACGCCATGTGGTGGTGGTGTGGCGGTGGCGTTGATTTTTCTTTGGGTACTTATTCGCGCTTCCGTCCATGTAGTAACGCTGGGGGCCGGGATGCCGCCAGGTGAGAGCGTGTTTTTCTTCATTTACTTGTCATGTCCCACCTGTTGTGTGTGTTGTGCTCTAGAAAGTTTGTCCGCATTCCATGTGTGTAGTGGCAATCGAGAAGGGCCAACCAATGGCTTAGGTGTTTCCGTGTTGGGCAGGACGCTCTTCTTCTTCTTGTCATTGCGCTACTACATGGATGGGTGTCAGCATACACTCCGAGTGGGCTGGTCATAAAGGATTGGTCTAAGCGTGTAGAACCCGCTCGTAGATATGCATAGGACGGGGGGGGGGGGGGGGGGGGGGGGGTCCCCAAATGGGGGCGGCCGGAGACTTTAAAACCTTTTGCCCCCCCCCCCCAAAAAACCGGG